GAAATATTTTGAACATTATCTTTAAAATTCAGCATTTTGAAATTTTGAAAGTTAATAACTGTCAAGAACTATGGAGTTTGAGCAAATTTTTTCTTGATATATAAAGTAAATGTGGACAAATGTAAAAAATTAATTAATTAATTAAAGGGAAACAAAAAAAAAAGAAAAAGAAAAACACTCCAGGCGCATGTGCAAGCACAGAAGCACAGTACCCAGGATCCTGAGGGCTGAAGAAATGGAGGAGAGAGGGCTGTGGCATCACCATGCCCCATTGGGGAGTGCTTTCTCTCCCTCTTTCCCAGTTGCTGGTTTCTCTCTCTCTCTGGTGAGCATACAAGCCCTCTGGCAATTACAAAAATTCCTTTTAAATTAAAATTCCTAAGAAGTGGACATAGGAATGATGTATTATACAATAAGATAGCTCTAGGGTCAAGCCAACGTCTACGAAGAGCTACTCTCCGCCAGTCTTTACTACCCTGGGCTTTCCATCTCTGGGAAATGCAGAGAGTAACCCTCCAATGCCCCCTCTCTGGATACTGGAGGTGTGCTATCCAGATATATACCTAGCACGTTTAGTCCACCTCCTTTACCCAGTAAAGTCTGGCTCGATCCTCCACTTGTGTTCCTGTGCACGGCTGCATGGAGGGGCCTGCTCCCCAATGCTGCAGGATGGAGGAACTGCTCTCTGCCATCTCTGCCATGGTCTGCATGTGGTTGGTTGGTGCACGGGAAAACTGTCTGTATTCATGAGATTTCCTGGGCACCCCCAGGGCCCCCAGATACAGGGGATCAGTACACCTGTCCAGTCACATTTATCACCCAATTTCCCAGGGAAATCACATTCAAGAGTATTCAAATAGCTTTCCAAAAGCAGTGGGCTATTTCTTGCCCCCATCCTATTTCTCATTTTTGAAATAATGAGTAAAGTAGAAATCAGTGGAATGACTGCAGCAAATAATTGAGATTTTAAATGGTTCTGGCTGAGGAGAACTGATCTGCCAGTAGTAATTTCAGGTTCCAACAGGAGAGAGAAAAGACCCACTACCCTGCCCTCTGCCACAAAACAATGCAACAATGGAGGCAAAATTGTAGATCAGAACTTAACACCTGGGATCTAGGTGCACAATTCTCAGCACCCAAACTTGGATGGGAAAACATCTCTATTTCTATCTTCACTAATCTCTTACTGAAATCTAGCATTCCCTTTAAGCAGGACTGTGGGCAACAAACCATAGTTCCTGTAACTTGATACTTCAGAATTACGGTATTCAACCCACCACTTGATCCAGCTATGGAACAATAAAGAAGCACAAATACTGGGACCAGCAGTTAGCATAATGGCTGTGTCGCTGGACTCCCATGTAGTCAACCGCAGTTCAAGTCCTGGACCCAGTAGCTTAAACTCACGCCGGGCGCGTGTGCGTGCATGCCTAAGATCCCAAGAGGAGAATGAAGAAGGGACTGCAATGTGGCCATCCCCCCTGGGGGGTGATTTCTTGCTTTCTGTCTCTCTGTCTCTGTCTTTCTGACGAGTGCACATGCCCTATAGCAAAAACCTCTTCCAAAAAAAAAAGTACAAATATTAAGTGATCAATTTTTTGGAAAATAGAACTCATTTGCTTATAATCATATTTATTTGTTTAGTCTGCCAAAGGGCATGTGCACTTGCCAGAGACAGAGACGCAGAAGGAAAGGGAGAAAACACCCCCTGATGGGGCATGATTACACCACGATCCTTTTTCCTCCAGCTCCTCCTTTCTCCATCCTGTCAAGATTGTGGGCATGCACACACGCATGTTCTCCAAGCATCCAGGGCTGGGTTTCCAGTCACATGGTCAGCCACGTGAAATTAGGATCCCTCAACCACTAGGCCATGGAGCCAGCCCAATCACATCTATTTTATGTTTTAAAAGACATGTCTCCAAGGCGCCAGCAGGTGGTGTGGTGGTTAAGGCACAAGGCTCCCACATGGCCCACCTCAGTTCAGGTCTTGGACCCCACAGCATGAAAATCACACCAGCCACATGTGTGTGCATGCCTTAAATCCCAAGAGGAGAATGGAGAAGTGGTGGCAGTGTGGCCATCCTCCCGGGAGGTGATTTCTCACTTCCCTCCTCTGTCTCTCCCTGGTGAATGCACACACCCTATGGCAAACATCTAAATAAACAAAGAGAGATGTTTCTGAGGGGCCAGGTGGTAGCGCAGCAGTAACACAACTGGACTCATGAGGAAGGTCCTGTTTTTGTGTCCTGGAAGCTTCTGAAGCATACTGGGTAGGCACACACATATCCTCACTCTTGTCCATGACCCACACCAGCTGAAATGGGTGGATCAAGGTGTGTGGACCTTTTGGGGGTGCCTCTTTGTCATAGAAGAAACAGCTGAAAAACTTTTGAAAATGTTTCTCAGAAGGGCCGCATGGTTTTCCCAGGCAGCTACTGAGAAGTCCCAGATACCAGTCCAGGGTACAAAAAATGTTGAGAACTTCTGACGGGACCAGTGCCATAGTGTGGCAGTTTAGTGCTGTGCACTAAGAGTCAGATTCCACATGGCGGGCCTCAGTTCCAATCCCCAGCCCTGGAGGCTTGAACACACCAGGTGTATGTGCATACGTGCCCCAAATCCTGACAGCACGGAGAAATGGAGAAGGGATTGTAGCGTCATGATGCCCCATCGGGGGTGCTTTCTCCCCTTTCTTTCTCTGGCAAGTGCACATAGCCTCTGACAATTAAAAAAAAAGAAAGAGGGAACCAGCAGTTAGCATAATGGCTATGTCGCTGGACTCCCACGTAGTCGACCGCGGTTCGTGTCCTGGACCCGGTGGCTTAAAACTCACGCCGGGCGCGTGTGCGTGCGTGCCCAAGATCCCGAGAGGAGAATGGAGGAGAAGGGATTGTGGTGTGGCCATCTCCCCTGGGGGTGATTTCTCGCTTTCTGTCTCTGTCTCTCTCTGTCTGGCGAGCGCACGCGCCCTACAGTGAAAAATCTCTCCAAAAAAAAAAAAAAAGAAAGACAAAAAGTTCAGCTTAAGTGCTTAGAAAACAAAGGGCTGGCTGACAGGCCACCCACTGAGCAGTGCTGCTCTAGAGCCTCGTATACAGGTCAGTGGTAGAACATGGAACACACATGCATGACTCCCCACCCTAGCCCAGGAGTCACCAGGACAGAATGGAATTGATCAATCTGTTCTGACAGGTGGGGAAGAGCAATGCAAACTCTGTGTCAGCAATGGTTAATGCAAGCGAGGAAGTGGACGTCCCAACCGCACAGGCAAGTCAGGGCGCACTTTTATTTTGATATCAGCACTGCTCTAGTCCATTAAACACACTGTTGACCCAGTCTCCTGCCAGCCCAGTCGGATCACCATTAATCAAGCTTTTCAAATATTCAATCACATTTCCAAGAGAAAGCAGCATTGCATTTTCTAATAAATCGATTCTTGATATCTGCTGATGTGTTGAATAGAATATAAACTACAGCCATATTTGTCTTGACTTTAAAAAGTAACTATAGGATACTACAGTATATTCCATCTTGAATTATAAAGGAGACTATAACGCAATAGAACAGTACAGCATTAAAGTAAAATAATTGAGCTAGACCTTCGAACATCTCATTTTGTAGTGAGAAAAAGCAAAGGGGTCTTTTAGTTACTGGAGTTCAGGGTGCATGCTTTTGTTTTAAAAACAATACCAAAGGTGTTAAAAACAATCAGACATCATTCTCCAATACAAAGAAATGGGTTGGGTTAGAATACACCACCATTACCCCAAATAAAAGGATTTATTTACTCTCAATCCTTTTGTCCCCTCACACCAGACCCTTTTCTCTCCCATGGCCTGGCACAACCTGATCCACTGTCTTTCTTAGTTTTTTAAATCCACTGCATTTCTACCTCTGTAGAAATGTAGGTATAAATCATGCTCGCATATTAATAACACCAAATGCACACAGCAGATATACTTGCTTTTCTTTTCTAAAATAGAAACAAACAATTCTACTGACCCCAAACTGTTCTAACTGGAATAGTAGCATCATTTGACAGCTCACTCGAAACACAGAGCCTTTGCGAAGCAGAGTCTGAGCGGGGTGGGGACGATTCATGATATCCACTGACGTCATTTCTAACCTACATGCACAAGCAAAATAAGTCTATTTATTAGTTCCAATAGACTCTAACTCCTTTTATTCTACTTTGTTTCTTCTTCCTGGCCGATCCAAAACAAAAAGAAAAAGAAAAAGGTTTTAAAATCATGTTTGTTACATAGTATATTATTTGTTCCTAGCTTGGGAGAAGAATGTTCTGTGCTGAAGGTAATTCTATCTCAAAAGGAATATTGAATACAGTGCCTCACTTTTAATTCTTTGTTTACTACATCTTAATCTTTGTTTACTACATCTTAAATGAACTTATTCCATTGATAAAACATAAACCTTTATTAAAAACAACGGAATAACCCAGTGATGTCTAACAAGCCAAACCAACATAAGCTCACTGCTGGCGTGGGTTCCACAAACACAGTACCGAGCTCCATGCACATCCCTCAGTTTTGTTTGCTTGTTTGTCTTTTAACTGTTTTGCTGCAGGTCTTTTCACAAACTCTCATCACATATATGTGCATCCAAGAATCTTCTGAAAAAGTCTGATGACAGCTATCCAAAAATGATCATTTTTTTCCCACATATAATAGACTGCTAAGAGTAGGAACAGAAATAACTTTTGACTTTCAACTTTACAGTCAGGCAAATCTTTTGCTATCCTCGGGTCAACTTTATAATGAAGAACCGGGGAATGTAATAGGTTATATATCATCTACCATGGTCGTAAATGAAATCATTACTACTGTTCAAAAAAGGCCCTAAGGCCATCCTATTAGAGCTAAGTGACACCAAGTGGTATAACAGAACTAAAAGCGGACCAGATAGGATACCTTTGTTCTGTGAGATGAGAAGTGAGAAAGAGGGGACTGGGCTGAAATAAAACAACAGAACACATGAAATGACTTTTATAATTTTAATTGAAGCATTGCTATTCATTTTTTTTAACTCTTTCTTATAAGCACCAAATTTTAACATCTAAGTCAATTTTGGGGAAAGAAACACCATCAAGAACTTCCCTCCAGAACAGAACAATGATGTTCATTCCTCCAAATATCCAAATTGAAGGCCTACCAAAATCAAAACAGAACAAGCCCACAGAGAAATAAAAAGTAACAAAAATCACATTCTAGGGGGTCAGTGCATTTAGCAGTCTTTGCTGTGCTGTCTAATCGTCCTTCAGCTGACTTTCAAAAAAATAACACCCTAGCTCATCAAAATATACATTTTCCATTTGTGTTTTTTAAATTAAAAATAATAATTAAAAAAGGAAAACTGTAAGGAATTCACAATCAATTGCCTGACTCATGTGGATGTGGTTTACAGCGTACGGAGGTCAGGAAGGGCAGCACACGTGATGGGGGAATTTCATCTTCAAGGCTTAGCTTTCTTCCAAACAGTGTAAAATACCCACCTGGACAGACAGTCAAGGAATAAAAAAGCCATCATCAGAGAACAGGCATCAGTTACAATGTGTTTACTGGCCCCAGAATTGGAAGATGGATGGAAGTCTCCAGGGCTCAGAGTGCTGTGATGATGAGAATGAAGGCCTTTGAACAAGGCCACTTCACAGCCTGGGATGCCCACCGATGGGACATCTGAAGAGGGGACAAAAATGGCTAAAGGAATGCAAATACTCTCCAGTAACACTACTGCTCCCAAGGCCTCAGGTTTGAAGGAAGTAGTGTGGGGAGGGGAAGAGGAAGGGAGAAAGAGACAAGATGGGGAGGGAGGAGAGGAAGGAAAGAGGTGGTGGGAGAAGAGTAAAGGAGGAAGAGAGAAAAGGGAAGAGAGAAGGAAGGAAGGAGGGAGGCGGAAGGGGAACAGAGGGCACAGGCTGGGGGTGTTTTACACTAGGGCTTCTCCATCTTTTCAGGTGCATATAAATTCCCAGAAGGCTGGTTAAAACAGATCCCTGGACCTTGCCCTCCAGCCTTTCTGATTGGGCAGCAGGTTGGGGTGGGGCTTGAGAATTTGCATGTCTAGTTCCCAGGTGATGTGGCTGGTCTGGGACCACCAATGAGAACCACTGCTAGACTTGAGCCATGTGGGAGTCCACACCCCTAACCACCATGCTACCTGCCATGTCCCCCTGCACATTTTTCTTAAAGACAGAGTCTCACTATGTCTTGATCCTCTTGCCTCAGGCTCCCCAGTCACTGGGACTTACAGGTTTGCTCGGTTATACCTGGCCCTAGCATTGCTTTTAGGCTTCCAGAGGGATTCCAACATGTTGGCAGATCTGAGAACCAGAGCTTTATCCACCACAGAGCTGATTCTATTTATTAATGGGACATAAAAGGTTAAACTGACACAGGGTCTACCTGGGTGTCTGATCTGGCAACATGATGTCCTTGTCAAAGGATACAATTCCAAGTATGAAGGGACACAGACGATCTCCTTCGAGAATTCCACAGGACAATACAGGCGCCCGAGCTGTTCTTCATAGAGCGACAGGGCTTCCGTCAAGTTGACACAGTTCCCCTACACAGAGAGAGAAAACAAACGATGGGATTCTCAAGTCCCAGGGAGGGTCCCATTCATCTAAAGTTCTCTAAAGGAGAACAATTCTAGCTTTAGAAACAAGGTTCATCTCTGGGAACGAGTAGATGGCAGAATGGTTATGGCACTGGACTCCCACATAGTCGATCACAGTTTGAGTACTGTACACGGCAGCTTAAAACTCATGCTGGGCACATGTGCGTGCGTGCATGCCAGAGATCCCAAGAGGAGAATGGAGGATAAGGGATTGCAGCCTGGACATACCCCTGAGGGGTGTCCCTGTCCCTGTGCCTCTCTGTCTCTGCAGCAAGAACATATGCCCTATAGCAAACAAATCTTTCTCAAAAAAAAAAAAAAAAGGTTCATCTCTGAAAATGAGATCAGGCTTCTGTACTTTCACAAATTACAATGAATTCTATTTATAGACTCACTAGCTGATTATCCTTCTACCTCATTTACCAAGCCATTTCAAATTATTAGAATATGAAGCAACAGAAAGCAGTGAGACCAATTTTGCATTAGTGACACACTCATCAGAGTGACACTATGCAATTCGACAAAGACTCGGACACATAACCCATTTGAAGTGCATTTTCTCAACAGTGGTCAGCACTAGTTAAAAAGAAAGATCAGGGAAGTAGTCTTGCTTCCCAGAATGGTTTACAAATATTAAAACCCTCTTAAAAGTCCAAACAGTTGACACAACATTATATTCACACCCCATGACCTCCCCCAAATCTATGATTTCTGCTGAGGAAAAAGAGAACAAAGGTTTGAGCCAGCTGGTAGGGTGATGGTTAAAGCAGCTGGATCCCACAGGCTGACTACATGGTTCGAGTCATGGACCAGCTGCATGAAAAACACACTGGGCATGCGTGTGTGCATGCTGAGAGGAGAATGGAGAAGGGACTGCACAAGCTAATTTTGATACAAATTTTTTTTAATTCAAACATTATTTTCTCATAATATACATTTTTGTGAACTTTTTGAAGAACCCTCACATGCTAAGGACATCCCACAGTTGCCCTAACTGTTGAAAAATGTTCTCTAGATTTCACTATTCTAACGTTTCTCCCTTTCCTTCTGGTCAGTACTTTTTCAGCCTCCCTAGCTACTAGTTGTTCAGGAGATACAGTGAAGATCTGCTGGGGCTGCTAGGAAAGCTTTTGATTCTGAATAATCAACAGAGAGAATGAGCTGAACCCCTCAACTCTCTTCCAGCCTACAGCCCAGATGTGACAAACAGAGCTACAGCAGCGAGCTGGGGACCATGAGGAAAAAAGATGAAAGAACTCGAAGATGCAGAGCACAGAGCAGAGCTTAATCTTCAGTAAACATAGTCACAGAGGAGCTCGCTAGGTGCAGAGTTTGACTTGGTAGGTCTGAGATAGGGTTTATCATTATTGCAAAATTTTCCTCCAAGTGCTTTCCATTACAGATTTGCTAACAAGATGAGTATGTAATTCCACCTATCAATACTTTCTTTTATACCGCTGAAGTTCTTAACATTTAGAAGACTACTGAAGGCCAGCTATGTGGCCTGACAGTTAAGGTGGCTGGATCCCACATGACCAACTGCGCAGTTCAAGTCTCAGATCCGGCGGCTTGAAAAACACACCAAGCACACACACGTGTGCACACCCAAAATACTGAGGAGAATGGAGAAGGGACTGTGGTGCGGCCCTCATCCCTGGGGGTAGTTTCTCACTTTCCCTCCTCTATCCCCCCTTCTCTCTCCTGTGAGCTTACTGGACCTATGTGCTGACCTCATAAGAACTTCTTATTGGGACCGGCAAATGGTGCAATGGTTATGTTGCTGGACCCCGCCCCCCCCCGCCCCATGTGGACGACCAGTTTGAATCCTGGATCCAGCGGCTTAAAACTCACACTAGGCATATGTGCAAACGTGCCCAAGATCCCAAGAGGAGAATGAAGGAAAAGGGATTGTGGAGGGCGATTTCTCACTTGCTGTCTCTCTGGCGAGCACATACGTCCTATAGCAAAAATCTCTCTCAAAAAAGAAAAAAATCTTTATTATTAATCTACCTCAAAATAGCCAAGTACAATGAGACTGGAAAATTATTTACAAATGTAGGCAGCCTGTGATGTAAGAACTGAGAATGGCATTTCAAAACCAACCAGCCAGCCAGTCACGGGCCAGAGATTAAAGCTATTCTGAGAGCTGGCCTTGGTGGTTTTAAGTTAGCACATTCGCTCAGCATGAGGTCGTCCTCTAGGGCCAGCCTATCTAACAACCCGTCATCTCGGGCCGCAGTGGGATTTGGTCAAAGTGCCCTTCGCCAGCATATAATTTGGTTTCAACATCAAGTTCACTATGAGAGCACATAAACACCACCCATGTAATTTAAGGTTCACAAATAGAAAACACTGCCTGGCTGTTTTTAGAACACATCACCACCAGGGAAGCTATAGAATGGAAATGCCACCAAGGTGCACAGTGAAACGGTTTTCTTCGCCATCTTCAAAGAGACACCACTCTCTCTCTTTATGGAGAGTATATGGGAGAACAGCCTTACAGAAAATAGGGTGAGGAAGTGAGGAAATAGCAAAGTTTCCATTTCTTCTTGCCCAACACTGTCAAGAAGCAGTCTTAAAAAAGGGAAAAAAAAAGAAAGAAACTCACCACAAATATAGACCTACTCCAAAAAAGTGACAGGACACATTTTAATTTCCTGTCCATTTAAATGGAACACTTTTTTCTTTTCTTTTTAAGAAAGATACATGAGAAATACAGAACTCTAATAGCAAAGATTTAAACACTTCTATTTTTTTTGTGGAGAGGTTTTTGCTATAAGGCGTGTGTGCTCGCCAGACAGAGAGACATAGAGACAGAAAGCAAGAAATCACCCCCCCAGGGGGGATGGCCATGCCACAATCCCTTCTCCTCCATTCTCCTCTCAGGATCTTGGGCATGCACGCACACGTGCCTGGCGTGAGTTTAAGCCACCGGGTCCGGGATGCGAACCGCGGTCGACTACGTGGGAGTCCAGCAACATAGCCATTATGCTAACTGCTGGTCCCAGAATTAAACACTTCTTAAGGATAAAAAGGAAGGGATGGTAGCACACCTAGGGGTTACATCGCAATTCAGTAGCTTAGGTTCTAGAAATTTCTCCTTGACCCATGTTAGATGTGAGTAGGTAACACTTGCTTTTTTACTTCATAGATTTCTTTATTGTTTGCATCTTTTCAACTTAAGTTAGCATGTATAATTTCTATAATATAAAACAACAGGTACAGAAGAATATATCCTTGACAACACCTTTTTAAAAAAAGTCAAATTCAAAGGCAAGGAAAACTGAACAATATGATGATTTAGGAAATCACACAAAGAAAACACAGGAACAGAAAAAAGGAGACTGTGGATGGGCTATTTCTAAAAAGCAGCCAGGAATAGAGAGGAGTGTGGACACGCCAAAGATCCTGGTACCATCTAGCTCTCAAGCTGAATAAGGACCCGGGGGCTGTTAGTACTTTTCATGACTTTCATGCATGCTACATTTTTTTTTTGAGGGATAGCTTTCTGCTATAGTGTGGGCTCACCAGAGATACAGAAAGACAGAAAGTGAGAAATCACACCTCCCCCCCAAGGGGCATAGACATACCACGATCTCTTCTCTTCTTGGGATTTTGGGCACACATGTATATGTACCCTGCATGAGTTTCAAGCCTCCAGGTCTGGGCCTCAAGCCTCTGTTGGCCTTGTGGGAGTCCAGAAAAATAACCATAACACCATCTGCCGGCCCCCATACATAGTCTTGTATGTCTCAAATAATCTACAGCTGGGGACAATAGGTGGTATGGTGGTTAAGGGCACTGGACTCCCACCTGGTTGACCACAGTGAGTCCTGGTGGCTTGCTTTATCATTTTACACCTCTTTCTCTCTCTCTCAGTCTGTCTCTTGAAAGGAGAGTGGAAGGGAGGGAAGGGAAGGGAGAAAGAAAAGAAAAAAAGGGAGGGGAAGGGAGGGAAGGGAAGGGAGAAAGAAAAGAAAAAGGGAGGGGAAGGGTGAGTGGAAGTGAGGAAGGAAGGGAGGAAGAAAAGGTTAAATAAAATAATTCTTTAAAAAAAAAAAAAAACCCTACAGCTTTTCAAAATGGGAGTGGGAAAGAGAAGGGACGGAGAGGTTGAGTCCCAGGACCTGCCTCCTCATTCAATGAGAGCAATTTCACCCCGATTCAAATTACACTGGTCCCCCTGTGCCAGCCGGATTTCCAGACATTCCATGACATGTCTCCAGCTTCATGGCACACTGACACATTGGGGGGGACTGTGTCACTCCCAAATTCATGCGACGAAATCTGTTTCTGATGGGATCCGAAGGGTGATTGCGAGGTGAAGCCCTGGGAGGTGATCAGGATTAAGGTCATCAGAACCAGAAGATAGCATAATGGTTATGCTTCTAGACTCCCAGGGTTGACCGTGGTTTAAGTCCCAGACCTGGCGGCTCCGAACTCATGCTGGGCATGAGTGCGTTGTTGTTCAAAATCCTGGTGTGGCCATCTCCCCTGGGTGGTGATTTCTTGTTTTCTGTCTGTGTGTCTCTCCAGCAAGTGCATGTGCCCTATTGCAAAAATCCCTCTTAAAAAAAAAAAAGGAATAAGGTCATCAGGGCGGTGCCCTTATGACTGATTCCTGGTGGGTTTATAAACGGAGACATGGACACAAGCGACATGTGCACATTCCAGCTCTCTTGCCACGGATGGCCTGTGCCACCTCAGGACTGTCCGCCAACAAGACGACCCTTACCAGAGGTGGCTTCTCTTGACCTCAGACCTCCAACACTGTGCTAAGTAAACTGCTGTTCTTTGTATGTGAACCAGATGCAGGTGTTTGCAATCAGCAACAGAAAGAGGGAAGAATCCACATGGCAACAAGTGTCGTGGCCAACTTGCCACTGTTTTTCACAAGAACATTTAACTTCTGTAAAACAGTATGTATTTTCAACCCATTCATATTCCAGTTCTAAGCTATATACTCAGGCACAGGGGCATGGCAGAAATGGAGGCTGGATCCTACCTCCTCAGCAGGTCACCTGGCAGTTACAAAGAGAATCATGCTGTGGCAATTACCTCGATATATCTGGAGTCATACCACCCTGCTTCCTTTTCTATAAAGCTTTTTTTTTTCTTCCTTGCCAGAGAACACATTCTGTCTCACCAGAGAGCGACGGGAGAAAGCACCCCTCCAACGGGGCCTGGTGATGCAGCAATTTTATTTCTTTTTTTCCTTAAAGAATTATTTTATTTAACTTTATTTACTTAAATTAGACCAGAGGGGTGGAAGGAAGGGAGGGCGGGAGAGAGAGAAAGTGAGAAAGCAAGCTGCCAGGTCCAGAACTTGAACCGCGGTTGGCCACATGGGAATCCAGCACCCTTAGCCATCACACCACCTGCTGGCCCCACAGCAATTCTATTTCTATCATTCCTTCTTCCCATCAGGATTTTGGGTACATGTGCACATGGGCCCAGCATGTTTTTTAAGGTCCCTGGGTCAGGATTTGAACCATAGTCAATGCGGGATCTGGCTTCTAAAGCATAGTACTTAATCACTGCACTATGAGACCAGCCCAACTACTCTACTTCTTGACTTGACCACTGCTTCGTGGAAAAGTCTATATACTCCTAAGTTCATATGAATCACAGCACGGGACACGTTCAACTGCCACATATGCTGCATCATCCCAGGGGCCATGACAGCAGTTTGTGTTTCGAACAATCCCTGGAAACCAGCACAGTCCTAGGCACATAATACTTGTAGTTTTGGATAGAAGTCAGTGGCAGAGGCAGGTTATCCAAACCTGGGTCATTAATATTTTCTAATGGGCTATGGTGGTCTTCTAAGCAAGCGCTTCAATCAGTCTTCAGTACTAAGATGTTTCCCTGTAGGAGGAAGTCTCCCAGGCAAATATTCAGAACAAAAAAACCTGCTGCATGCTGGGCACATGTGCACATTCCCAGGATCCTGGCAGGATGGAAAATTAGAAGAAAAACGATTGCGGCATGAACAAGCCCCATTAGGGAGCACTCTACCCCCCATCCCATGCATGCCCTCTGGCATTAAAAAAAATTACATTTTCTCTTTTTAGATTTATTTCCTTTCATGAGAAACAACACACGTGAGAAAGAGAAAGACAGGGACTCGGACAGGGTTTCATCAAGCCTCAACTCCCTTCCCTTGCCTTCCAGCTAGCCATAGGCAGGATCCTGGGCTTTCCCGCATCCCGCATGTTTTCAGGTCAGATTGGGACTCAAACTCATCGTCAGTCATGTGACTTCCAGCATGGTGGATCACTCTGCTACCAGCTGCATGAGGACATACTTTCTAACTCTACCTGTTGGCTACTACAAACTGACGAGTTCACAGCGGATCTGAATTTTTCTCAGTCTCTTTTGGTTAAAGATTCCAGAGTTTGGCATTCCTCTATGTGTAGAAGGGTAAGAGAACAATTCCATAGGTTCATTCTGTGTAAGAAATGCCCATCAGGAGAAAGCCCGACTGGCTTGCTTTTGCAATAAGAAGCCCTCACTGAATAGGCTTCACCAGAGATTTCCTACAAAGCAGGGATCAGCAGGTTTCCTTTTAAAAAAGGGCGAGAAGGAAACGATCATAAGCCGTACAGTTCACACAGTCCCACCACAACCACTTAGCTCTGCTGCCAAAGTAGCCTGAGAGCAGCCATAGATACCAGGTCTGGAACGGGCATGGCTGTGCACCAAGAAAACGCCACAGAAACAAGCAGGAGGCCAGATTCGGCCTGTAGCTCACAGACCCCCAGCTTTAAAGAGTCAAGGCTAAACCATGTTTTTGTTTGTTTATTTTAGAGAGATTTTTGCTATTGGGTATGTGTGCTTGCCAGAGAGACACAGAGAGACAGAAAGCAAGAAGTCAACTCCCCAGGGGGGATGGCCACGCTGCAATCCCTTCTCCATTCTCCTCTCCAGATTTTGGGCATGCAGGTACATGCACCCAGCATGAGTTTTAAATCACCCAATCTGGGACTCAAACCACGGTTGACTATGTGGGTGCCCAGTGACATAACCATTATGCCATCCTGCTATCTACTGGTCACTCAACCACATTTTAAATTATCATATCTAGGGTCCAGCAGGTGGTGTAGTGGTTGAGGCACTGGATTCCCACTTGGCTAACCAGATTTTGAGTCCTGGACCTGGTGGCTTGAAACTCACACCAGGCAAAGAAGCATGTGTGCCCAAAATTACAGGAGAATGGAAGAGAGGGGATTGTAGCATGGCCATGCCCCCTGGGGGTTGTTTATCACTTTCTCTCTGTCTCTCCAATGAGTACATGCACCCTATAGTAAAACTCTCTCAACAAAATCATTTATAAATATCATGGGTGGGGAGTGGAAATAGCCATCTATAGACAGTTGTTTGCTTTCCTCAAAGCTTCCTAGCACTTTCATCCAGTGCAAAGTCCTGGATCAATCGTCTCCTGGCTGCAGGTCTGGCAATGGGGAAGAGGAGAAAAAGAGGATGGGACTGGGACCAGCAGTTAGCGTAATGACTATGTCACTGGACTTCCACGTAGTCGACCGCGGCTCACGTCTCGGACCCAGTGGCTTAAAACTCACGCCGGGCGCGTGTGCGTGCATGCCCAAGATCCCGAGAGGAGAATGGAGGAGAAGGGATTGTGGCGTGACCATCCCCCCTGGGGGGTGATTTCTCGCTTTCTATCTCTCTGTCTCTCTCTCTGTCTGGCGCGAGCACGCGCCCTATAGTGAAAAGCTCTTAAAAAAAAAAGTAAAGAAAGAGGATGGGCTCGAGCTTGAGCTCAAGGTGGCGAATCTTAGAGTCATTATGCCATTTTCTTAGTCTCAGATTCTATAAAATGTCCTTGCCTCCCCAGAATGAAGCTAAGATCTCTATCTATTCTTGACATATAAATATACTAATCCTTTGTTTTGTTTTTTTTTTTTGGAGAGATTTTCACTGTAGGGCGCGTGCGCTCGCCAGACAGACAGAGAGAGACATAGAGACAGAAAGCGAGAAATCACCCCCCAGGGGGGATGGCCACACCACAATCCCTTCTCCTCCATTCTCCTCTCGGGATCTTGGGCACGCACGCACACGCGCCCGGCGTGAGTTTTAAGCCACCGGGTCCGGGACACGAACCGCGGTCGACTACGTGGAAGTCCAGCGCCATAGCCATTACGCTAACTGCTGGTTCCCTACTAATCCTTTGTTTAAAAAAACAAAAAAAGCTGGAGGGGTGGGAGCTCTCCTGTAAACTGAGAACTCACAGACCAAAATGAAATATTACATAAGTACTTAACTTTTATTTACAAATCAAGAAAATTTTTAAGTTTATGTAATCTTTTCTTTCCACAAGAGAAAGACAGAGACAGGCACCCACAACAGAACCCTTACATTGCAATCGACCTCCAGTCTCTGCCAACCCTGATCTTGTGCCCAGTGTGCTTGGGGAGGTCCCAGGATGTGAACCTAGGATGTTTCCCATGCGGGTCCAGTTGTGTTCCTGCTGTGCCAAGGCCAAATCTAGGAATTGTTGTACCAAGTAAACAGAATAGATTGTCAACTGGTTGCTTCTGTTGTCATTTTCAAAACTTTGTAGAGAGGATTTTATTAAATTATATAAGTATATATTTTTATATATTTCAACATTTTTTAAAAAATAAGAATTCCCTAGTCAATGAGAAAAACGTTATCATTTGCTTCCATCTGATGGCAGGAGCTTGTACTACAGCCAAAGCTGTTTACCAAATATATGTTGATCAACAGGCTTTCCAAAGTTCCTAGAGAATGAAGATGAAAAAATAAAACCACAGTCTCTGTCTCCATCTAGTGGCAGCAGGTCATACTGCAGCCAAAGACTAGGGTTGAAAAATCTTGTTTCTTGGTAACAGTAAACAAGAACTCATAATTCCCAATAGATGACAGGTCAGCTTATTTAAAAACTTAATGCTTGAGACCCAGTCCACCACTTGGGAGGCTAGAAGCCACAAGGGAGGCCGGAGTTTCGTTCCCAGGCCAACCTGAACATGCCAGGTGCTGTTGAGCAGGCCTATGACCCTAGCTAACTGGGAGACTGAAGCAAGAGATTTTGACACAAGACTCCATCAAAGATATCTGTTTCACTCCAACCATATCTCTCATAAAGAAAAAGAAAACTTACTGCTTTAAAGAACATAATCCAATGTTGCTGTTCTATCCTTAGCAGACATAAATTTCAAAATACAAATTTTCTTTTTTGTAGAGAGGTTTTTGCTATAGGGTACACGCACTCACCAGAGAGATAGCGAGAAATCCCCTCTAAGAGGGGATGGCTAGTCACACTGTAATCCCTTCTCCTCCACTCTCCTCTCAGGATTTTGGGAACACACGCACAAGTATCTGGCATGAGTTTTAAGCTGCCGGGTCCAGGACTCATACCACGATCAACAACGTGGGAGTTCAGTGATATAACCATTATGCCATCTGCTGATCCCCCAAAATACAAAATTCTTATTTAGAGTTCTGGAAAGAAAACAGTTTGGTAGCCTACCTGTGTGAAATATTTCCCATCCTGTTTCAACACTTTCATTGAGAGGTCAAGAATCAGTCTGAGAAACTCCCATGTGGAATCTGGATGGTTAAAAAAAGAAGTTTCATAAATATGGATTTGCATGTATTAACGTCATCTAAAGTCAAATATTCACTCTAAAACAAAAGTGAGAGAAGGAAAATGGGAAAGTGAGAGAGAGCCATAAGCTAAAATCTGTATTCCAGAGCCCCTTCATGATTATGCATGGTCACATGCCAGTGTCCGGTGTGGGTGTGTACACAAGAGCTAGTTCACAATCAAATGTAATCCCCTGAGCACTGCTCTCAAGATATCAATAAAGACTCCACCAAAAGACAGTGGCTGGGAACCAGCAGGTGGCACAGTAGTTAAGATGCTGGATTCCCACATGGTTGACCACAGTTCAAGTCATGGACCTGGGGGCTTGAAACTCATACCGGGCGCATGTGCATGCATACCCAAGATTCTGGGGTGCGGGGGGAAGAATGGGGGAGAAAGGATTATGGATTGCAGTGTGGCCATCCTCATGTGGCCATCCTGGGGGGGGGTGTTTTCTTGCTTTCTGTCTCTGTCTCTCCAGGGAGCACATATGCCCTATTGTAAAATTCTCTCCCAAAAAGCAATGGCTGAAATTGAATGGAAACTACCTTAAGTGAAGTGGAAAGCAACAAGAGCCCAATAAAATCTGCAAGGGTCATTACATTGTTACCCAGTGGAAACACAATTTATAAAAAAAAAAGATCAATGGGGCCAGCAGGTGTTGTGGTGGTAAGGTGCTGGATTTCCACACAGCTGACCATACCTCAAGACCCAGAACTGGTAGCTTGAAACTCACACTAGGTGTGTATACATGTGCCCAAACTCCCAGGAAAAGGGACTGCGGCATGGCCATTCCCCTGAGGGGCAATTTCTCACTTTCCTTCCCCCAGTTTCTCTCTCTCTCTCTCTCTCTCTCTCTCTCTCTCTCTCTGTCTCTCCAATGAGTGCACGCATCCTATGGCAAAAACCTTAAGGAAAAAAAAAAAACACAGAAAACACGCCAGCAATGATTTACAACTCATGATCTGAGAGGAGAGGACATATCTCTGTTGTCAGTTAGAAAAGTCACCAAGCTTTCCTAGTCCCAGGTAAAAATCATATACTGCAAATAAATAATCAAGTGATTTAATGTCCCAATGATTTATGAGTCATTTTAGTTAACAACTGCTTGAAATGATAGAGACCAATTCATTCATTTAGTGGCAGGACCAGAATGAAAGCCAAGTCCAGTTTCAACCATCTTTCCACCACAGGCCTCAGCTTAATTCCCTTTATTAAAAAACAAACAAAAAAATAAGACCTTAACTATTGGGTCGTCAGAGAAGTAATAATGTATTTTCTATGCAAAAATGCATCATGACTTTTCAGATGACCCACTAGATAATTTCCAAGCTCCTTTGGCCCTCACATGGTGCCAAGAGAAACATTTCTATGAACAACATCTTGGCTATAAAAAAACACACACAACAAACAGAATGTACCTTCTTCTGGAGAGGTGGAGATTGGAACAGCTGTCAAATCATTAATCACATAATCAAACTCTCTCCCTTCTTTGGCGTACCTCTTCAGTACTGGAATACAGTCTTCAATAAGAACCTTCCAGAGAAAACAGAAACAGATGACTGAGCCAACACATGAACGTACTTAAACAACACTAGTAGGGGATGGGGAACATGCAAGCTGGGGCTGGGATCCACAGCACTGGCCACACGGGCCACCACCCTCATCCATGTCTGTACGAGCGAAAGCTGTGTGCTTGCTTTCTATGCATTCTGAATTCATCTAAACACCAATGCTATGGGTGCAATTATTTTCTCCATTTTACCAATGGACAAACAAACTTGAGAGGTTACAGAGCATACTCAAAAGTACTCATAAGAAACAGAGCCAGGGACCAGAAGTTAGCGTAACTGCTACGTCACTGGACTACCATTTAGTCAACCCGGACCCGGTGGCTTAAACTCGCACCAGGCACATGAGCGTGCATGCCCAAGATCCCGAGAGGATGAAGGAGAAGGGATTGTGGCGTGGCCATTCCCCCCGGAAGGTGATTTCT